ACTAAAATTGTTTTGTAACTAATGCAAAATGCTGTAACTAATGGGAAATCACCTACAAGAATAATGATACAAAATGGGTTAGCACTAGATTTTCTAAATAAATTTAAAATCATAATTATATTAAATGTAGAATAAGTACATTATTTAGGAGTATTATTATAGTTTTAGTAATTCAGAATTTTATTCTTATTAGTATATTTCCTATTTGTATAATGATTAATATTCCTAATTTTATTAGTTTAATATTTCTTAATTTAATTCTATTTAGAAAATGCTACTTAGAAACCGTTATAAATAATTTCATAATTTCACTTATTGAGCATTAATTATTCAAATACAAGAGTTTCTCAATTTTCTATTCGTGTGATGCGATTAAACCCTTAAATGTGATACTTAGAATTCTTAAATATGATGTCTAAGAAATCCTATGTGCAATGTCTGGGTTTTTATCCCTAAATCTCTAATTAGGTAAATCAACCTTATTTGTCCTATATCAATTTGGTATCCAAGCTACAAAAATCTCATACCCAAATTCTCAAAACTTTACATCCAAATAACCCCAAATCTATCTGGAAAAAAAAAAATCACAGAAACCCCAAAACAGCTGCCAGTACTGACGGTGGCTGCTTGACATCGCCACCACACCCAGCTACAAAAGGTATCAATCAGCCAACCCGTGAAGCCCACACCGGGCTAGCTGCGAGTACAGTCATGCAATCTGTTCTATTTTGGCTCCTGTGATTGGTTCCCGCTTCAAGCAGACCTAAAGAGAAGTTAAACTTCAACAATGATGACTAACGCTGAATTAAATGCACAACTAGAGGCATGCGAGACAACCACTAGTATTATATTCGTAACACTGCAAAAAACAATCAATGCAGTCATGGAAGGAGTGAGATACTTGCGCTCAACAAAAGTACATGCACCAATTGAAAATGTGCAAGTTGCACAAACTGCAGATAGAAGACACACTGAAGATAATGCTGGAGATATTACCAAGAGAGTAAAGTTCAAATTTCCTGATTTGCCGAAAGAGACCCCAGTTTCTTTCTCAATTGGCTTAATTCAATAGAAGGATACTAGTTGTAGTATGACAAGTCAGATGCACAAAGATTTTGATAATGGAGTTGGTTGAACTTGCAAAAATATGGTGGTATGCTATTAATAAAAATATAACAAGAAGAGAACAACCAACAACTAAAACATGGGATGAGGTGAAAGCTATTCTTCGCCAAAAGTATCTACCTCCTAGCTAGTCTAACAAACTTCGTGACCAAGCTTACACTTCCAGAGCAATATGTTAGTAACTAAATACACACAGAAGTTTGAAGAATTAAAAATTTGGAGTCAATTAGTCGAAGACGATAGTCAAGCAACATCTTGATCTTTTGAGTTAAGTATGATATGTATTCATTAATTACAAGCATCAGAAGGGTGCCAACCCATACACAAAAGATATTTACATGTCAATCATACAATCAATAAAGTTACCTAAACTCTCCATGGAATACAAAGAATTACCTGTAGCCAAAAAGCCCAAGGTCTGGTACCGTCTGGCTTTAACCTTATCCACATTCTCTTCCACTTCTTCAAAAGTCCTTTTATTCCTTTCTTTCCATGCCACCCAAAAGATAGTAAGAAGAATAACTTACAAATGTTTTTCCTATCACTAACACTCTTCCATGCTCATAACTCCTCCCTAACATTATCCACCATTACACAACTCATGCTCAGCAGTCCATATGCCATACACCATATTTTATATGCTAGGGGAAATTGTAGTAAATCTCTTCCACCCTCTTACAAAGATAGCACCTATTCACCAAAATATTTCCGTTTCTCGTCAACTTTTCAATAATCAAATATATTCACGTCCTACTGCCCTAGCTAAAAAAGCGATTCTTGGGAGAGCATTTACTCTACATTTTCCGGAACGGGAACTTGTTCTCCACTGATTCATTCTTGATCAAGTATTTATGAAATAACCCAACCAAAAAGGTTTCATTTGAGCTAAGGGACCAAACTGGTTAATCATCACCCTCATTAAAGGATATGGAAGACAGCGAGAAACAACAAACATTCGTAATCATTTATTTCCCGATCATTAAGATTCCTGATAATCTCCACATGCCATCCCTTACCACCCCAAAATTCTATAAATCACTCCTTTCCTTATATATTCTTGTAACTGCAATGCAAAAGATCCGTGGGAACCTATCTTTAAATGCTTCCTCTCTAAGCCAAATCTATCAAAAATTGGTTCTCTCCCCATTGCCAACTCTCCACTAGATGCGTTTATGAAAACTATCTCTTCCTATACATAATTTTTTTCATACTCATGTCCCATGTGGTCTACTTACGCCTCTAGGATACCAGCCCCTATTCCCAGTGCTAAATTTTATCCCAATAACCCTTCACCATAGAATCCCACTCTCTTTCATGAACCTCCAAATCCACTGACTTTGCAATGTCTGATTCATTTCTACTACCAATCTCAACCCCAAACCACCCTGATTCAAATGTCTTTTTAACACATCCCGTGCCACCAAGTGGTACCTCATTTTCTCCTCAAAATCAAACCATAAAAACATCTACTTAATTGCGTACAATTTCCTTGCAACACTCACAGAAATTGTTAACAAAGATATATAATACACTGGAAGGTTGGACAAAGTACTTTTTATAAGAGTTGACATCTCGATTTAAGATAGGACTAAGAGTTTACATTAAAAGAGAGTTAATTCGACAACCTCCTACAACTATAATACAAACTTATCAAACAACCCTTGATGTGAAAGAATATTTGAAATGTCCAATCCCAAGAAAAATTTCCAATCATGGAATCCACTTCTAAGGACACATTTGAATCCAAAGGTGAGCCGAAGAATGGATCAACATCAAATTTCAAAGCTCCTATAGGTAAGGAAGTTATTTGCTTTAGATGTGGACAAAGTAGGCACATGAGCTACGAATGCCCAATGAAGAATAACTTGCATGTTGAAATGAAAGAAAAGGAAGAGGCTCAAGAAAGAGACGACGGTTACATATCCTACAAGGATGATAATTTAGGTCCTACTAAACGAGTACCTCTCTTTTGCTAACATACATATTGTCAAAACTTCAAAGTGGAAGAGGAAGAAGAATCATTACGTCTCCCTATTGCTCAAAATCTTTCCCCAAGAGTTAGTTCTATGGATGGGCAAAAAGAATCACTATCTTCTTATTGCTCAATATTTTTCCCCAATGGTCAACTCTATGAAAGTTCCATCCAACAAAGGATTTGACATACCAATTGGTCAACATATTGACTTCATCCTCCCACCAAGATTAATGCTCATAAACAATTGTGTGCTTCTACTATTCTAGTTATTGGCGAGAACAACCAAGCACAAAGGTTGCTAAGTTTTTGTGGGGAAACTCAAAGGTCAAAGTTTTACATTATTTGCCACTTCAAAACTCGTAAACGAGTTTTCTCCAACCAAATGGAGAATAATGCAAAATGAGCTATACTAGATTTCCTAAATAAATTAAAAATTATAATTATATTATAAAACAACTATATTATTTAGGAGTCTATTATTATATTATTTAGGAGTACTATTATAATTTTAATAACTTAGGATCTTATTCTTATTAGTATATTTCCTATATGTATTAGGACTAATATTCCTAATTCTACTACTGTTCTATCTCTTAGTTTAATTCTACTTAGAAACATCTACTTATAAGTCATTATAATAATTTTGCAATTTCATTTATTGAACATTAGTTGTTCAATAATATATTTTGAAAATTTCTTAATTTTTCTAGTCGTGTGATACAATCAACCCCTTAGATACGACTCTTAAGATATCTTAAATTTGTCTAAAAAATTCTTGATGTGATGTTTAGATTTTTATCCTCGAATCCCTAATTGGACAAACCAACCCTATATAACTATTGCCACTGTTAGATCTTCGTGCAACAAATAAATTTTATAATCTTCTTAAGGCATTACCAATAAAGGATATCAGGCATCACAAATCAGGTCAAACTTCCATTTGAACCAATGTAGAACCCACAATCTCACACATGCAAACCTTTCATGCCATGAACCAACGCAAAACTCGTATATGCAACATTGTAGTTGCCTTGAGAAAAAAAAATTTCCTCAAGTCAACTACGGTATAACTTCTAACACCATAAGCTCATCACTCAAATTCCAATAACGTTTCATTAGTACTAGAGACTACCCTTTATGAATTTTCTTATTGAAACTAAGTCAAAACCCAAAAATCTCATGACAATAAACATCCTCATGCTTCATAAGCTTTAATACCAAAAGGACATGTTCTTCCCAATAGAACATAGTTCCCTACAAAAGTGAACATCTTTATCAAGATTGTAAAGATTAGCGACCCAAGCATTTTTGTTTCAACGGCATACAAATTGGTGCATTAAAGAAAGATCTTAAAGTGGGCATATTTCTTTTTTTTTTTAAATAATCTATTTTACAAGTTTCGACAATACATAAAGTGGACATATTTCAATAATAAAAAAATATGAGGCAGAACCAATAAGGGAACATAAATATCTTTGGAAGTTAACTAAAAGGAATAGAAAGATTTAATTTCCTTTTCTAAGTTGGAAAGTTTTATAATAAAGGGAAATAGGAAGTCCTTTCCTGAGTATTCTCCTAGTTTTTGTATTCAGTTTATTTTCCTGTTCCCTAAATTTCTAATGTTCTTAGTTCTTCTATTTAACTTATTTTCCTATTTATTAGGTTTTTTAGATTTTTTATTTTCGGTGTATTTTAGAACCTATAATTAAGGATACCCTAACTTAGTTACTAAATATAATATTAATTATTATGATTCAAATATTGAGATATTGTTTTAATTATTGAGATCCAAAATATCCATTTTGGTCGTTAATCAAATTTCTCTAAGTTTATCTTCAAGCTTTCTTCGTTCTACATCAGTTGGTATAGAAGTTTAAATTCTATTAATCACAGGAAAGTGTTCAACAGTTCACTTTCCAAAATGAATTCTTGACATCTTGAATATACACTCTGTCTCTCCTTATTCTCCATAAAACAGAGAAAAAAAAAAAAAGAAAATTCTAACCCAAAAAAGCAGGTCAGCTTGTTCCTGGCCACCACCAGGAGGAGGCCGATACTGCTTTCAGTGCTAGCTTTGGAAGATCTCAATCAATGGAACCCGAAAGCCCTGCTGCAAAAACTCGTGTAATCCTCTCACTACCCAAAATTCACTGGACTGCAGCTGCAAACTCGAGAACTTTGCCGCCCCGACAACCGAGAGTAACACCAACACCAGGTCTGACACCATCGCCTTCTGCCAGCATATCATTGTTGTACGCTCGCCAGAAGCCTGCGCATGAGACCTTTGCTTTCTAACAATATTGATTTTTCAAACCAATTTGACCCCATTCGCTTCACCTTGCACTATTCAGCCACCTCCAGACCTGTTTCCGGTATTTCCAAAATGAATCTTGAGGCTGTTGGACATGCTCTTTCACTTTTTTGAGGCTAGTTGGCACAAAATTATTTTTTTTTGTTCACTTTTAAAAGTTGATATTAGACAGAGTGTGTTCACTCTTAATGTTGGATGGATTTACAACATGAGTAAAGTTCTTCTAGTTACTTTCTATCGAGCATATGGTTCAGTTATAAACAATGATTTATGATATGTTGTATATAAAACTTTTGACCAATACAGATATGTGGAGAAAATTAAAATCAATTGTTGGGTCTTGGCAAACACAGTATTTGGGGAACTTCTTGCTTGGGAAGGTCTTAGCAAACGAAACAAACTCTTTAAACTCATCCCCCCCCCACCCCCCGGTATTTTGAGTAATTTGGAAGGAAAGAAATAAACGTGCTTTTGACGGAAAAGAATTAGACTTCAATACTTTAAAAGACAATTGATTTCACTATTTTGGCTCTACCATACTTGAGCATGATATTGATAGTAATATTAATTTTGCTTCTATTGTAGATATACTCATCGATATGTAAAATTGCACATGGGCAGTGCACCCTTGGCACTTATCATCAATACATTTCTATACTTTTCTTTCAAAAAAAAAAATCAATTGTCATTCTACAAGGTTGCAAACTTTGTGACTTATGAACTTTATCGAATGCTATTCAGACTCGAGATTCTCTCCAAGAATATTATTTATATAACAGATGTTATCAAATGGAAATTCAAAATTAGTTTTCAATGCCTAGAATAATGAAAATAAGTGCTCCAACTGCGAGAGAAAAAAAGTTGCAGGGACAACATGATAACTCCCATCCTTGTGAAGTTACTTTGAAGGATTTCAAAATAGCTCTTTAGGATTTTTTTTTTTTTTTTGTGAGATAATAGCTCTCTAGGATTTAAGTGAAAGCGTGTGAAATGAAGATGAAAAAACATAGAGAAAATCTTGAATCTTTGCTTATGCAAGAACCCAACATATCTCAACTTCAATGGAATATGAAGAACAAGAAATAAATGAAAGGGTGAATGATTTGGTGACTGAGCAAAATCCTATGGAAGTGTTACAACCTAATGATTAAGAATTAACTAATCACATCAAAGCTATGTGCACGAATGAAGTAATTGAAATAAAAGAAGATATTGTGAACAAGGTTGTTATCTCTATTGAGCAAGTTGAGTTTTCTAGTAATGAATCTCTCAATCTAGTTATAAGCAATAATGTTGTTAAGATTGAAATATTTGTGTTTTCATTGACTTTAAGAAGAAAGAGGTCTTACTTGAAGATACCACTTGACATTCTTTGACTCCTAACAATAACGAGGAAAGTTTGTTTTGTTCTTCCTTCAATAGAACTTGTCATTCCTAATTGGTTCACTACGTCTTTGTAATTCTTGATTTCAAAAGCATTCATGTTATGACAATTTCAAGTTTTGCAAGCTTCAAGTGTAATTGAGACAAGTTCCAACTTTGATATTCTTTTGCTTCGACATTTTAAACCTCAATGTCGAGTTTTCACCAAGTAGAGTAGAATGTGCATAATAGAAAGATGTTAAGGTTGACATATTTCAATAATAGGAGATATGAGGCAAAACGAATAGAGGAACATAAATGTTTTTGGAAGTTAACTAAAAGGAACAAGGAGATTTAATTTACATTTCTAAAATTTTGGAAAGTGTTATAATAAAAATATTTTTTTTTAGATAAAAAAAATATGTATATTAAGTACACAGCACCAAGAGGGTGTCACCCATATACTAAATATTTACACTTCAGTTAAGACCGTCGATGACCACCCAAAATCATCCCACCCATTTAGGTCAGGTCCCAGGATTAAAAATCGAAAAACATTGAACCACCTATTTCTAATTCTATTTATATTCCTAACACACCCATCAAATGTTCTATTGTTCTTTCTTTTTTTTTTCATACCACCCAAAAAACAGTAAGACGAATAAGCTTTACAATTTTTGACTTTTTACAAATCTCATCCCACACCCAAAGTTCATCCCTAACCGAACCTGCAATCACCTAATTGATTCCGAGTAGATTGTACACCATAGACCATATATTATATACCACCAGATAACAAAGGGGAATATGATTACAAAATTCAGCTGCCTTCAAGCATAAATAGCAACCATTCACGATAGTCTTGCCCCTTCTCATCAGTCTGTCAATAATAAGGATGCACTCCCGACCCGCTTCCCAAGCCAAAAAAAAAACGATTCTAGGAGATGTCTTCACTTTCCACATCTGTTGAGCAAGAAAACTGACATGGTCCCCAATTCTCTTCACCATATGAGTGTAGAAGGGCTTTACTAAGAACATCCCATCCTTTTTTAGTTTCCATACCACCTTAACCTTGTCTTCACTCAATTGCACATTAGAAATGAGAAGAGAAAAGCTTCAAATTCTTCAATCTCCCAATCATTAAGATTTCTAGATAGTTCAGGCACTATCCTCTCCTATCGTCCACTCCTCTAAACACCTCCTCCACCACCACATTCTTCCTTTCGGCAATAGAATATATTCTTGAAAACTTATTTCTAAGATTGTCCCTTCCTATCCACTTGTCATCCCAAAAATGTATGTGATTACCCCTTCCAAGCTTCCACTGTATGCATTCCAAGAACTTATGTCTCCCGGCCCAATCCTCCTCCATAAACTCATCTCATAAGGCCTCACAACCTCACCACCAGAGTCTCTCCCTAGCTCCCCACCCCAACAAGCCTCAATCACCCGGCTCCATAACCTCCTCTCCTCCATAAGGTACCTTCAAAACCACTTCTCCTGTAAGGCCCTGTTCATGTCTACGAGCGATCTAAGCCCCAAGCCACCCCTCTCCACCAGCTTCTTCAACTCATCTCACTTCACTAAATGGTATTTCCTACTCCTCTCCCCATCACTTCATAAGAAATGACATTATATATTTTCTAGCTTTTTAGCAATCTTTACTGGCACCGTTAATGCAAATAAGTAGTATATGGGCAGGTTAGTGAGGGCGCTTCTTATTAGTGCTAGCCTCCCACCTTTGGACAAATAATTCCTCTTCCACCCTACCAATCTTCTCTCAACCATCTCAACCACATGATCCCAAGTTCTCACATCTTTATATTTGGCTCCTAACCAAGGCATTTGATTGGCAACAATTATAATAAAGAGAAATGGGAAGATTTAATTTCCTTTTCCTAAGTATTCTCCTATTTTTTCCCATTTAGTTTCCTTTCTATTTCCTAGATTTTCGATTTTCTTAGTTCTTTCTATTTAACTTATTTTCTTAATTTCTAAATTTTTTAGATTTCTTGTTTTTAATGTATTCTGATACCTATATGCAATCTGAAGTTGAAGTCCCAACTGTATGCATCTGATGTGAAAAAATAAAACCATTTTACCTTTTTAATGATGATAAGATTTGCATGTGGGTCATGCTTAAAAAACTGTTCTATTTGAGTTCCTGGCTGCTTCCTACATTCCCAGCGATTCATTTAGTAAATTCCCGTCACTCATGTAATCTTAAGCTAGCTCCATCTAAGAAGCTACTCAAAGCAATCAGCATGTAGAAGATAACTATACACCCCCAGAAACCAAGTAACTAGGAAACGCTTTTAGTCTGAATCAACGACATGGTTCCACGTCTAAAACCATTGAAGACGCATTTATTGAATCAAAGTCATAACCAACCTCCAATCCTGACCAAAAAACCTAGCACTATCCCTCCATCAACAATGAACACTCGTGACTATAGTCAACTCGCAACAGAAAAATCAGCATTCTAACAAAACCGTAAACAAAGATAAACATATATGTAACCAGCACTGGCAACTTACAAAAGGAACCCACTCTGAATTCCGTCTCCTGAGATGCAGCACCGGAAACTCAGCAACAGTGCTGAGCCTGTTCCAACGAATTCGGTGCAACTCGGTCAAAATGCTAGCCCTGTAACGCGACGAGAACTTGATGGCCTTGAACTTGCCCCGCCCGTCTGTCCTGACACTGATGTTGAACTCGCTCGGGTTATACTCATCCCTCCCAACAATTGGCGTCGCGCTTTCGAAGTCGCTGGCCACGTCGTACGAATTAGTGACAGATAGCGTTGAGGGATCAAGGGTAATGATGGAGACGCTGGAGATACACAGTATGCGCTTGTAGCGGCCACGCCACGAGTGCTTGACCACCAGGTACCGAGCTAGGTACTCCGGTTCCTCTATGATGGCTGCGCCGGCAGATGCGTGGTCCATTATCGGTGGCGTGCGATCGGGAGGGTGGCGGCTCACAGAATCGATGTGAGTGAGATACTGGAGGTTGCGAGGAGCATTGCTTTGAGAACGGAGAAAGAACCAGATTCCCACGCCGGCTTGATTAGCCGAGGCTGCAGCCGGGTAACGGTGGGAGTGAGACTGATTCGCCCCCAGTTCTAACAATAATTACTGAATCGCCACTGGGGCAAGTCTTTTTGTTTATCTGTTGATCGAATTGAAACTAACCCTAGCTTTCATCTAAGAATCGGAGAAGAAGAACGAAAAGAAGCGGGGGTGGGGGAAAATGAAAACAGAACACGAATCTGATGGTGTTTAGATTTGATCAGATATAAAATGATGATGATGATGTCAAAAAAAAAACAACTTTGAAGTGGAATCCTATTGATGAAAGAGTTGTATTTAGGAATTTTGCTCCAGGAATCAGGATTGTAGATAAAAAGAGAGATGGGCAAGCCAGCTAGCAGAACGGAGCCGTTGTTAATTCTGTGATCTGCACTGTCAAAATGACTCTTTTTGGGTAAATGTAGCGTCACATGTCGGTGATATATTCGTGCCATAATGATGACTTGGCACCTGGCTTGTCTTCATGTGTTTCTTATAGTCTGACTTGGGCCGGGCTATAAGACCAGGCTCCAGTTGAATTTGACTTGGAAATTTAGGTTTAATAAGTTTCATATAAAATTCATTAGAAGTTTGTGGATAATTTTTTTAAAAATAATAATAATAAATATATATATATATATTGCATTTTTATACAAGAAAAAGCAGGTTAAAGCTCCAAATTTTCATTGATTAGAGCACATATTTAAAAAATAAATAAATTAAGCTTCAAAAAATAAAAAGAGTTCAATTTAAAAAAATAATAATAATAATAATTGTGACTTTTTCTTATATGTCGAAGTTAAAACTTTAATGGACAAAAGTGGCGAAACTGAAGGAAGCCATAAGTACGATAATCACGTCCACCTATCTGACCGTGACCATAAGTACAGTAACCCCTATCCAGTAAAAAGTAAATTAATATTAACAATTAGATGCGTCCTGAATTTTTCTTTAAAAATATATATATATATATATATATATATATATATATAGTAATCCACATAATTACTTCTATAGCTCAATTAATAAAATACCAAAACGTGCGACATATAAATTTTTACTTTCTATAAATTGTATAAAGATTCAATTATTTAATTGTATTTATCCTTTTTCCACTTAATCCTCAAGAATTACATGCTTTCGGTGCTTATACAATAAAACACATATAATGTAGTCACGAAATATATATGCACAATATTTATTAAACACTTATACATCATAATTTTATATGAGTTTCAGCTCACGATACGATCACTTATAATATGTATGTATACATATATATATATATATATATGTTTACATATCTATTATATGGTATATATAAAGTATGTATATTATATGTTATACAGATGTTCCTAAATATAATATATTCGTATAATATTTTTTTAGATTATATAATATAAATTTATTTATATCATAGAATTTACTTTTTATAATATTATATATTCTCTTCTTTTATTATTTTTTTATAATTTTAGGATCAAATATTACTTTCATTAAACACACAACTTTAATTTTTTTTTTAAATTACAATATTTATATCAAAAACTAAATTATTTTTGAATATTTTTAACTAATAATTACTTTTAATGTAACAGTTCCGGAAATTCAAAAGAAAATACATATAATAATTTAAGTGCGAAATTAAAATAAAAGATTAAAATTAACATCTCTTACACAATAACTTAAAAGTAGTAAACAATATTATAGAACAAATTCTTTGAAAGAAATACGAGAAATGAGAAAAATAAAGGAAACTATAAAATATTTAGCATCTACTCGCAGTTTTCTTGTGGATCGGACTCGGGAACCAGGTCCTTCTGATCTGAATTGATTAAATAAGGAATGAGTTATAATAGCCCACTAAGGATATCACACTATATCATCGTCACAGAGGTAAAGGCTTGTAGAAAATCAAAACAACAAATAGAGCAGTAGATTTAAACCAATACATTTATTTGAAATAAAACTATTTACCATTTTTCTTACCATTTGAGAACCTGTGAAAACAACCTATAAAGACAATAACATCATACATATTACAATTTCATGCATAATCAGTAACATAAAACATATCATGAATCCGTATTCATTAACAATAACTTATTATCACCGTTTCTCGTTTTCACCAGCCTGCTAGTATCCATAGAGATCCATATGGGTGTCCCCGCTACACGTGAACTATTCCCCTTAACAATCTTAATTACAGGGCCGTCCATATACCCCGTTCGGTATGAGCACCAAAACATTAAACCTCAATACCTCGTTCGGTATGTAGGGTGAAACGGGCCGTCCCCATATCTCGTCCGGTATGAGCACCAAATGACCAAGTCTCCATACCCCGTCCGGTATGAGACAACATTCACGTTAAGCTGTCACCTTATCTGTTTTCTCTTAATCTCCGTTACCAAGTTAAATATAATCACATAAACAATAAATATGCACCCAATAATACAATCATATTTTAAATTCTAAAATTATATAGTGGACAAGTAAGACAGTAATACATACATTTAAACTATATAATATATAAACAAGATATCATTATACTTTTAGACTGTATAATAAATCAACAGTAATTTACAGAAAACAATGTCCGATTTGGGCTATATTAGCAATTTGTAATAAATCAAGTACATCCATTTTATTTGTATAAAGGACTGTATTTTTATTTATTTGAACTTTAATTCGATGACAGAAAATAGAGTGAGGGGTCTTTACTTGATTCGACGCCAAAAATTAGATTGTTACTGCGCTTACGGGGCGATCTCTATGTTCCCTAAATTTTTATTCGGGGATTGAAACGCGCTTACGGTACCTACACATATCCCAAATAACCTAAAAATCACACCCAGGGCCTACTCAGCCAATTTCAAGATTCCGGCATGGTGGCTCTGCTGTGCTCCGACGACGGCGCCGTCGCTCGCAGCGATGATCTGCCTCGGGTTGGCTGTTTTTGGCCGAATTCAGCCAAACTTGCATCGATTCCTGTGAGAAAACACACTTAGTGCCCTCGATAGGCCGAAAAAACACAGAAAATCGAAACTCACCGGTGGTGGGGTTCTCCGGTGTGGCGGCTCCTCCGGCTCATGTTGCGGTTGGACGTTTTGCTCCGGTCAACTTGTAAAGGAGGAAACGATGATCACAACGGTAGAAAAATTACATCGAACGGGAATCGTGAAGGGCCTCATCGGAGGTGAAAACTAAAACACCTCGCGACGGCGCCGCTAAGATCG